ATGCATTATATTTAAATATTATTTCGTTTATATAGGTATGGAATCGAAAATGAGTCAATTGCCAGAAACGCCTGTAAGGAAAATAACGCGTGTATATTTTTGATTTAATTTCTTGTTACACTTTTATTTTACGTACGTAATAATTAGATACAATTTGATGATGTGTAATACAGTATTTTCTTTTTAATTATTATATTATACTCTTGCGAGTGTACATAGAAAAGATTTTACGAGGTTTACAGTGAATATGGGGGGGGGGGGGGTAGGCGTGAACACTGAACTCACGATTTATTGACTGGTATGTGGCTGGACCGTGGTGGACGGCAATACAGTTGATCTAGACTGGTTCTGTTATCACGGTTCCGTTGATCAAATAAACTGGTGGTTATATTTCATACGTCAATGGACTTCACGGGCTGCTTAACTCTGCTGATGGCGCTCGGTGATTGACGAATACAAACGGTGGTACGAATCGCAACTCACCACGATAGCGGTGGAACGTACTGGAACTACCGGGTGGGACTGTGTGAATGTCCGTTCGTGGCGGTCAGAAACCGTCCGGCTCATTCAAGTCCGTGGGGTAATTAATGCTTTATCAAGAGTCGGTGTTAGTGTCCGTTCGTGGCGGTTAGAAACCGTCCGGCTCACTAGTCACCGATTCCCAGCAGGGAGAATGTGGTATCGAGACGTCGGACAGCGGCCTGTATTTATCATATTTGCGGCTCGTTGATCCGGCTCACAATGTCATTTGATTTTTTGTGTGCGTGGATTTCTAGTAGTTGTTTTCGATGTTTGGTGGCACAAACCTTATGGTACACGTTGCGCTGAAGTTGCATATGTGCTTAGTTTTTTAGTTATCTTTCGTGGTCCACCCGGAAAACTCGTATTTTCCGTGGGCGGCGTGCCGTTCGTTATTCCGGTGCGGTGCAGGCGCGCTCTGTGTTTTAACATTGTGGCGGTTGACCTTAGATAAGGCTAATGATGACAAACAGAGTGCGCTACGAGTGTAGACACTCCGTTTTGTCTCGTTACATTGTCCCCTTTTTTATTTTATATTTTTTTTTTTTTTTAAAAAACGGTTTTGAGTAAGAGAAGAAAAAAAAAATAAAAATAAAAACTTTAAAATTTCGATATCTTATGTGGTTTGTACTTGAATGTCAGCATGGTGTTATTGGTGGCGTTGGCGTTTAGCTGCCTTGATTCGTTGACTCTTCTCCTTATATATTAGTCTTCGAAGCCGAGTCTTGGAAACGTTCTCGAAATCTTTTAAATATGGCTGCACTTGTAAAATACGCTTCCGGACTTCCTCTGCTGCTTCTGGTTCCTGATCGATCAGCTGCTGGATTGTTCTGATGATGGTTTCCGATTCTGTTTCGCTTATACTGCTGGATCCAGGCGATGCTGCTTGTTCTTGAGGCTTTGTGATAGTGATATTGGGGGCTTCCTCTGATCCTCTTTCCCATTGTTTTACGAAATCATCCCATGTCATCCCGGTGGCTGAGGGTCTTCGAGTGGCTTGTATTGTCGTTGGAAGTTCCCAGGAGGGCTCGGGGTTGTAGAGGGTTCTTTTTGCCTCCTCTTGGCGATAGAACATGGCGATTCTTCGTTTCTGTTCCACATTTAATAATCGGTCAATGCTGGTGACTTCCATTTTGTTTATCGCTTCTTGCGTACGCAATCTCGTCAGTGGGATTTGAACCAACATTTTTCGGTGTTCCTACATAGGGTAAAAATTTTTTTTTTTTTTTACATGACGGTTAAAGGTAATTACAGTTATTCACAAGCAAGTTATTTGGGATTATTTATGTACATAGATTTAGATATATACCTATATATATATTTTTTTTTTTTTTATATATGAGCCACTCCTAGCACGGGTGTATTCTCATGGTATTTCTTGATGTTCTTAAAGTTGATTGTCCTGTAGTTTCCATTGCTTTGGACAGTTACCGTATTGTTACCATGTACTTCTTGTACTTGGTATGGTCCGTGGTAGATCAAGAATAATTTGTGGGTTTCCTTATCCTCAGCAGACGACAGGCGGTGCCCTTTGATCGTACTTCACGTTTAGTATGTGCCAAATCGCGAGTGGCCCCTCTCAAAAGTCTATCTATTCCTCGTTTAGAACTGTGCGCTGCAGTCCTTCTTTCAAAATTAATTAAAAAAATTGTACCGTCTTTGAGACTTAAAATCGACCGTATCTTTTTGTGGACGGACTCAAAAGTGGTTTTATCATGGATAGCTTCTGATGCCTCGCGCTGGAAAATCTTCATTGCGAATCGAGTTGGGGAAATTCATAATCTCACCTCAAACTATTCTTGGGGATATGTTAATACAAAAGAAAACCCAGCTGACGTGTTATCGAAAGGATGTGCTGTTCAAGTGTTAAAACAAAATTCGTTATGGTGGCAAGGTCCAGAGTGGTTAACTACGGAAGTAAAAGAGCACTCACCTGTAGATAACACTGATCCAGACAATATTACTTTATCGGAAGAGAGAAAAGTAACGACGTCATTAATCACCACAACACAGAACACGGACAATTATTTTATTAGTGTGTGCGAAAAATATTCAAGTTTAACAAGGTTTCAGCGAATATTAGCATACGTATTACGGTTTAAATATAATATTGACTCGATAAAACTAAATCGATTACAAAATACCGGTCTTTTGACGGTAAAAGAAAAACAAAATGCATTAGTTAAATTTATAAAAATTTTACAAAATAAATATTTTCCAAATCAACAAATGAATAAAAAAATATCATCGTTAAACCCGTTTATAGATAGTAGCGGTCTTATAAGAGTGGGTGGTCGGTTAACCAATGCAAGTGATTTAAGTTATGATCATCGTCACCCTATAATAATTCCATATGATAATCATTTTAGCACTCTTATTTTTAGACATGAGCATGAATTGTTACTACATGCGGGTCCTCAGGCAATGTTGGCCAACGTGCGGCTCACGTATTGGCCGATAAACGGGCGTAGAACAGCGCGAAAGGTTGCTCATGCTTGTATAACATGTTTTAAAAATAAACCGAAAACACTCGAACCTATTATGGGAAACCTCCCGAAACTACGTGTAGATCAACCGATGCGAAGTTTTGAAAATGCAGGTGTGGATTATGCAGGCCCTATAATGATGAAAATCAATAGTCGACGTAATTCGCCGTTACAAAAGGCATATGTATGTATATTTGTGTGCCTAGCTACAAAAGCAGTACACATTGAATTAGTATGCGACCTAACTACCGATGCATTTATAGCTGCATTGACCCGATTTATTTCGCGCCGTGGTAAATGTAAAAATATGTATTCGGACAATGGGACGAATTTTGTAGGTGCGAATCGGAAATTATGTAAATTAGCACAGCTATTAACGTCAACAGCTCACAAGGAACGCGTATCTAATGCAATAACGTTGAAAGATATCACCTGGCATTTTATACCGCCAAGATCGCCGCATTTTGGCGGACTATGGGAGGCTGCCGTTAAGGCCATGAAAAAGCACCTGAACCGTACTGTTGCAAATTCCCATTTTACTTACGACGAACTTTATACAACATTAACGCGAATTGAATCATGTTTAAATTCGAGTCCTTTAACACCTCTTTCCAATGATCCTTCCGACCTCTCCGTGTTGACTCCTGCCCATTTTTTAATAGGGAGCTCACTACAAGCCTTACCCGAGTCTAGTTGCCTAGACGTACCAACTACCCGCTTGAACCGATGGCAGCGTGTGCAACAGATAGTTCAACAGATTTGGTCAAGATGGAGCAAGGAGTACATGTGTCAACTCCAGCAGCGTACCAAATGGGTATCGTCCAAAGGGGTCTCACTCAAGATTGGTATGTTGGTGTTGATAAAAGACAATAACCTACCCCCTTTACATTGGCAAAGAGGACGAGTCGTTGATATCCATCCAGGAAATGACGGAGTTATACGCGTGGCTACTGTACAAACGATTGCAGGCCAGGTAAAACGGGCAGTACGACTACTTTGTCCCCTTCCGACGATGGAAAATGCATGTGAGGTATCCTCAATATAAAAAATGTGATTTTTTTTCTTTGTTTTGTGTATGCAAATTACAAGCATTGTTTATGCAGAATTATTTTATTTATATAATATGTCCAATGTTTGAGTAACGTATCTGTATTTATTTACTAATTATGAAAAAAAAAATTATTTTTGCTATTATTTTGTGCCACTTATTTTTTTTTATATATTATTTTTTATATTAATTATTATTATTATGATGTTATTTATAATGATTTATCCACTATCAGACTTCAGTCTAATTATTGTATTTATAAGTATCATAGTGTGTATTTTCACATGTTATAAATTGTAATACGGGTGTATCGCATATCTGTAATTAATTATGCCATTTAATATTTATTCAAGTTGTTTTATAATAATATATTAATTGTAAACGTTGAAACTGTGTTTCAAGGTGGGCCCTATGTTAGTGCTGAAATCGATATTGTACGATAATGGGACCTTTATTATCTAATAATTTTCCCGGCTATAATGATATCGGCTCTATGCGGTATAACGCATAATATGCCATATTATAACATGTAAGTTAGTTCAACATTGAATCCCCGTGCGAACACATT